CACGGCGCCGCTCAGGTGGGCGCCTCGCCGCGTTGGCCGTGCGCCTTCCGGTCGCTTCGCTGCTGGCCGTTTGCTCTTGGGCACACACTGAACGGGCTATTGCAACCCTTTCGCTCGGGATGATAGGGTAAGGGAAAACAATCGCCACTAATGCATTTGTATGAAGAACGAATTACTTCAGTCAACTAATTTCGTAATTTTTTGTCAATAAACCCTTCTATCCTTTGTGGATCAGATTTCATCAAATATTTTGTACATCCGTAAATACTGATATCGCAACTTTCTACCAACACTTTCAAAATTAACTTTCGTCTTTAGTTTTGAGAAAGCGGATGATCCTGACAATCAGAATAATCCTGATAGTCTTCTGTTTTGAGTGAGCAGAGAGCGAATATTGGTTGAAATATCAGAACATGACAGGTGACCGACAGATACCCAAATTGGTGCTGTTAATAGATCTACACAGACGAGAAGATGGACTGAACAAATATAATAGGTGCAACATGTTAAATTAGTGGTGCTTCAGAATGCCACATACTTTCTCGCATTAGTTCATTTTCTAATTTCTTCGATAATGGCTAGATTTCGGTCACTGTCGGAAGTGTGAAAGGGGCCCATTGTTTCGGCGTGACTGTGTTTCTACGCCGTTGATTTCATCTTCAAGGGGGCACAAGAGGAATTGGCAACTGGGAAATTTGAACCACACCCGACAGGCTTTAATCCGGGAGCACGACTTGTCCTCCTTGAAATACCAGGACATCCTCGTCATGGAGAAATAAAATCAGAGTAGCTTCTACTTCTGCCACGTCATGGGGACAGCATTCATCTTCTTTTACAGTTTAACCACTGGTTTAGCTTTGAGTAAGCGTAGGAGAGATGAGGAGCTCATGATTTCGTGTCATGCCAGATTTTACATCCGAAGTTACATCCGAAGTTACATCCGAAGTCTGTAGGCAATACGTAGCCTCTTGAACATATTCTTGCGCTGGTCGGACGTCGTGTACTTGCCACAAATGTAGCAAAAGCAATCAGGATTTTTCACTCAACTGTGCATATTCACCTTTTGTTTTCCAAATCCCACTGCGTCGTTTACGAAACCATCACCACTTGAATGCGTCATGTTGCAACTGTTAATTGATAATACTGAATCATAGCAACCCGAACTTTTCTCCGAATACACTGAAGGCAGAAGAAGCAACATCGCATAACCTGCCCGTACGCTAGTGGATAGGCCAATATAAAGTATAACGTATGCTGCACGAAAATCGGCGAATTGTCGTCAGGAACACATATTGCCCGGCCCTGATAAGAAACAAGTGGATAGATATTGACCCTATATATTATAAATTACTTCCTCTAACACCTTATATAGTCAGAATCTGTTTTGTGGGACCTTGATACTGAAAACTTTATTGACGTCGAAACGTGTCTGTCCGTCTGTGATCAAATCTACCGCCTACACTGTTCAGGCTTTCAGATTTTCTTCAGAAATCGGCGCGGTTTCCCTCAGCGGAATTTCAGAGAAACTGGGCGATGGCAACTGGGAAATTCGCGATCTGGGCGATATCACGGCGCCTTGAATTTCAAACCGATATTTTAATTTTTGCGGGATCTTCAATGAAGCTCCTGAGACATTTTCAAAATTTTCAAAAAATTGGCACGCATTTTTTAATTAAATATTTTTCTCGTCTAGTGTAAAGGACGCTTAAGAGATTGGTACAGGTCTCGTGTTCGTTAAAACCCCTGATTTTTTAAAAAGTCCAAAAGTGTTTCGGAGTCTTTTGTAGTTTTTGCGTAATTCTGCATGAAATTTAGGCATTTTATGTTTTTTTTCTCAAAACCGTCACCATAATGTGTGATTGAATTTTGACCTCAGCGTTAAGGCCACTTCAGATAATGGTGCAAGTTTCATTTTTGTTTGAAATCATTTCAACTTGATTATGAAACTGTGGGTATTGATTATATTATAAATTTCCACTTGACTATCCTGACATAGGTAATTTTATTAATTAAGCTACTAGTCGGGGAAGAGTTTCGCAAGCCAGCAAATGTACAGTCCACAATATATTTATGAATATATCTTCTGCATTGGCGCTCCATTGGCTCACATCTTGCACACACAAACATGCACTACACAACCACATACGTCGGGAGACCAGTTGGGAGTTTAGAGCTTGCCCCGGCTGGAGCGCTGCCCTGCTGGTAGGAGATTCCTTGTTGGGAAAACCCCCGTAAGCCTACATTTAAGTCGGCGTTGGATCTCGCCATATAAAAGAGCAAGGTGACCGCCACATCCAGTGTTAAAATATTGCATTACACTTGTGGGACTAATGAATTAAGCAGTTGACGAGCCTGAAAGCTCTCATCAATGGAACAAAAATAAAATTATTGCCTAATCGCATATGTTAGGAGGCCAGAGAAGAACTCAGAGCCTTTCTGAGTTGGGGCGATGCCCTCTGGGGAAGATATTTGAAGGGGATAAAACCAGCAAGCAAGTCACATGTAGGTGGGAGCCGGATCTCACGCGCCAGCGGTGGAGGATCTTTGGCCCCTCACGAATTTTAACACACACGGACTAATGATCAAAGTTGGTGGACCCTATCGAAAACACTCTTGTAACACTTTTGACACGGGTTTAGTTATATTTTTATTTAATTCGCTGACTTCAGCGAGGCGGAAGAGGAGCAGTGCTAGACTTTCGTAAAGTTAATGGTCT